GAGCCCTATGGCAGCCGTTTACTCAGGAAAAAAACTGTACTGGAGATCAGATCATGATTATTTGGATGTCTCCTCTGCTTTGATTCTAAGATTCCCAAATTGCTAAGAACACCCATATAGAAGAATGGATTTGGAAAACACTAACTGGATCATCTCTAGCCCCTGGGCCTGCCCAGAGGCAAGGAATCACATGCCAAGCTTGCAGATAAGGCCACAAAACAAACAAACCCACCCAACTTCCAAGCCCATACATATCTAACAATATATCCCAGAGTGCCTAGAGGGGGTCTGGGAAAACAGTCACCCAGAAGGGATATCTTCTCCAAATGGTCAGCTACAAGGCTGCCCTACAACCCAAGACAACCCCAGCAAATATTTTCTTTAAGAGCTCAGAGCACAGTTACATCAAATTCAAGTACACGAGAGAAAAACAGTATAGGTCCCAGGCAATGCTTCCTCTAAGCCGTGGAGTCTTGCGAGCAAAAATTCCACTTTGTGAGCTCCCGGCATTAAAGTGGTGTGCGAGCGATTTGGCTACTGCCTAAATTAGTTTGCTCTGGAGCCATCCTTCCTGAGCTAAGGCAAAAATGTGTGAGCCGGAGGCCAAAAAACTGTGAGCTAGCTCACACTAACTCAGCTTAGAGGGAACACTGGTCCCAGGCCACAAAGTATTTGAAAGGTTAAAAGTAGGCCGCTGAATTGAGCCCAGAAATCAACCAATGGTCACTGCAATTGATCCAGTATAAGCATAATATGACTGATGAGTGGGGGCAAGAGTGAACAAAAGACATTTAACAGAGAATTTTGAGCATCCTCACATTACAGTTTCCAGAATCTCTGGAGGGAAAACCATGCAAAGTTAAAGCTGCTATTAAAACCATTACAAGCTTGTAGCAAAAAAAAAAAAAAATCTATCCTCAAAGGCAGCCTCTCCCAAAGGTCATTTTAAAAAGCATAACTTCAAAATCTATTATTATTATTGACGATAGCATTCTTTCCAATCAACAACAGTGGCTCCACAGCACTCTTCACCGAGGATACATGTCGCAGCCCATCTCCCATCCATGCCAACCTCTAAGTACACAACCAGGGATCATCACATTCTTCTTTCCTTACTGAGAGTGTGATTTTATGCGGAGTACATAAAAAGGTTCCCTTGCTCGAAAGCCAGTCGAATCCGACTCTAGGGTTGCAGTGCTCATCTCTGTTTCAAAGCCGAAGAGCCAGCGCTGTCCGAAGATGTTTCCGTGGTCATGTGGCCGGCATGACTAAACACCAAGGTGCACAGAACGCTGTTACCTTCCCACCGAAGCGGTACCTATTTATCTACTTGCAATGTCTTGCTTTCGAACTGCTAGGTTGGCAGGAGCCGGAACCAGAGACGGGAGCTCACTCCGACATGCGGCACCCAGGTCTCGAACTACTGAGCTACTGACCTTCCAAAGCCTGCAGTTCAGCGTCTTAACCACTTGAGCCACCGCAGCGGAGTACATGACCAGTTGTAATTTTCACCAATTACATTTGTTGTAAGAGAGACATATATATTCAGCCATGGTACCTTCTGTTATGAACATATGATGAGCCCTGCTGGATCAGAATAAGACCCTCCTCCACCACTGCCTCACAGGGTGGCCAACCAGTTATTCTAGAGGGCCAACGACACAGCATAGTGGCTGAAGCCTTCCCCTGATGTTGCCTCCTGGCACTGTGTTTCAGAGGTTTACTACCTCTGAATTGTGGAGGTTCCCTTTAGTCACTGTGGCTGATAGCCACTGACAGAGCTGTCCTTCATGAATCTGTCCAATCCCCTTTTAAAACTGTCTGTGCCTCTGGCCATCACAGAAACCCACTATCATGTACTACAATTCGTATGAAAGACGATGGTTAATTCAATTTCATAGATGTTCTAACGTTAGTGGCATATTCATAATGTTTATTACTTATAAAGAATCATAAATCTAATTTGCACACAACCTCTGGGAAAGTAACAGAAATTCCTTGACATTGGTATCAGAAAAAGTATCTTTAGCATCGCACAAGCAGTCACACTGAACACTTCAAAGCAATTGTCCCTGCTTTCAAACACTTCCCTGGCTACACCCTCCTCGTTTCTCCTCCTTAACGCCCTGATACAGCTCTGTCGGTAACTTCTTATACTGCCCCCCAGAACACCTCTCTGATGTCACTTCCTTCAAATCCCTCCCCCAAATCCATATTTCTTACGAAGACTTTGAAACCTTTAGTCCAACACCCCATACCAAAACAAAGTTTAACTGGAATAAAGGTGATTTGAATTAATGCTTCATCTTCCCCTACTTGTTCCCGACCTCCCCCTTCCCCTCCTTTATTGTTTTCCTTGAGTCAGATTTTAAACTTCAAGTTCCACGGGGCAGAGACCTGTTCTTGTACTCTGTAATGTACTATGCATACCAATGATGCTTCTAGCAGGCCTGGAGAACTGGCATACAAGTTTTCTAAATGAATGGCATAGTATACACATTGTTATATCAGCATTATTTATTATCTTTCTGAGCTCCTCAAACTCACTTTAGCCCCCTGTCAACATCACATAAAAAGAAGAAAATCAGATTCCCACCTACCAAAGCAAGCTATAAATCTTCCAAAACAGTTTGGTACTTGATTGCACATTTTTCTTCTTCACATTGTTCTAATTGTACAGGCTTTATTATTTCTGTTTAGCGTTTAAGAGCCATAGTGGTGCTTAAAAAGCAGGAATTCTTGAAACAAGCCGAACTTTTCTGTATAAAATATCACTAAAACTGAGCAAAGTAAATCCTGAAAGAAGAAATGATCTTTGCCTATTTACATGGAGGTCTTAAGTATTTTCCCCCCGTGTATCTAATTCTTCTGATTTTTTTTTAAAAAAGCAACTATCCTGGAAACAATTATTTTTGTTCTCACAACACCATGAAATGTGCAGATAAGTATCTGCAGCATATCCCCAAGAATTACGAGAAAGGAAATATTTGTTACAGGGTAAAGACTAAGGAATGTCGTTAGTCACAATGATTCTCCACACTCCCAAGTTATTCTTCAATATAGTAACAGTTTGACATAGACAGATGATCGCGCCCTTTGGTTGTGTGTCAAAAACTGACTACAGGTGGCAGAGATCAGTGTTCCTCAAAAGAGAATCTACAGCCCAAACTCTTAACCTGTATTTGTAGTGTGGTGCAGTGGGTAAGAGTGCTGGACCCAAGTTTGAGTCCCCACTCATGTCACGGAAGCTTGCTGGGTGACCTTGGGCCAGTCACACTCTCGGAGCCTAACCTACTCCACTGAGTTGTTGTGAAGATAAACTGGAGGAGAGGAGAATGACGTAAACCGCCTGGGGTTCCCATTAGGGAGAAAGGCAGGATAAAAAAATGAAGTAAATAAATTTAAAAACACTTCATGCTTTTTGTATCTACACATGCAAGATGACAATCCATCTGTCTTGGAACTGTTATAAAACAATGGAACTGTTATAAAACAATGTTATAAAACTGGAACTGTTATAAAACAATGATATGCACTCCATGGCTTGGGAACTACATGTAGTTTTTTGACATGCCATTCTGCGCACTATTTCTTAATGTGGGGGACACAGACAAGGCCTTTGCCTGGTAAAGCCTGTGTCTGGCAGGTTGTTCCCACCTTGAAACAGCTACCACCAGAGGAACAGGTAAGCTGTGAGCCTCATGCCAGGGATGGAAGTAAAATGGGCCTCTTTGGACTGGCTGTAATTGTGAAAGTGGCTCTCCACAAGCCAAGGACATCACCATAAAATATTTTACCTCACACATGCACCACTGGCTTAAAATCACAATTAACTGGAAAATGTCACACACAAATGCTAATTATTACACAACAGCTTACTGTGAGAGAGAGAAGAAACAGAGGGCAGAGATTTTCAGAGCAAGCCCAGTGAAAAAGCCAAGCCTGGGTGATCAGGCAGGCAGGCAGGCAGACAAACCACCAGCAGTATTTAGAGCAGGTATGTACTACAACCAAACTTTCTGCAATCCCTTTGCTGTTCCCCAGCGTCACTAAACAAAGAAGAGTATCATACATGTTATGCTTCACTGCTCATACCATAAGAAGAGGTTGGCATTTGTATGAACTGATCTGTCTTAGAGCATTAGAGCAACTTCCTTTTGTGACCCAGGCCACAAGTCACACGGGCATAGAGCATCTCCCGACATACATTAGGATAACATATTTTAAAACCCATACTGGAAGACAATCTATATATGCCCCCCTCCCCAGTCTCATAGCTGGATAAAAATACACCTGCAGCTTGGCATCCTCTGCTTGCATTCTGAAACATCTATACAATAGTCTTGCACAAGCAGCAAGTGAGAACATGAACAGGAGCCAGGGCACGCTCAATCCATCAGACACGCGTTCACCTTTTCTCCCTCCCTTTTGGTAAGCCAATTCCCTTATTTCACAAGGAATCTGGGATGTTTTCTGCCTTTAAAGATCACAAACTTTTTTTTACCACTAAGCTTCATCTCAGCTTCCAACAGAACAAGCAAAAGTACTCATTTCAGGATTTATTTACATTCTATCATTAACATCCCTAAACATTTCTAAAGCGGACGCCCCCCCCCCGTCTCAGCAGATTCTCTGCCGGTACCTAGCATTATTTGGTATGTGGGGAGGAAAGCATAGTATTTTTCTTCCTACTGCAGCAAAACCACTCTCCTCTTATCGGATCCTAGCTTTGGAAGCTACAACCAATCAGCAAGCAACTATCATTTACAAATACGGAACTAAAGCCTGATAGGAGCTATACCATTGGCCTAAACAGAACCCCCTCTTGTACATGCCCTCAAATAACCCTCCCCGGTTGCTCCACAATAGACACCTCTTGGGGAAAGACTGACACTGAAAATAAACCCCAAATCATCCCTTCCTAGAAGACTAATTTTCATCTGGCCTTCCTGGATTGGAGCACTCTCTCCCCCAAATTTTTTAAGCCAGCCTTTACTCACCAGATCCTCAAAGCTCCTTCGGTGCTCCTTGCCCTGCCAATCCAGACGTCTTGGAATCAACTGCGGGGAGGGAGGGGAAGGATTAGCAGTTAAAGCATGTGCATCTGGGGGGAGGGAATAACTACCCACCCACCATTTCCTTCTCCAGTAAAGCCTTCACTGATCCTTAATGCACACAGCTTCCACCCTCCCTGCAATGCAACCTTCACTCACCCAGAAGAGTCCAAGCCCTATCCCCCCCCCAAAAAAAAACACCAGCAGAGAAATGATGTTTAAAAGCGAAAGGATCAAGAGAACCAGCTCTTAAACACTATTTTTTATAATGCTGTCTCAAATGGGGATAGCAAGCAATCCTTATTGGTAGCCTGCACCAAGGGGCAGTTTTTTCAGAACATACAGGACGTCCGGCTGACTCAGTGTGAAGGTTCCCCATCCTGTCCCTTAATCAAAACACCGGGGAGAAAAGGAGGAAATTGTCCTCTCTTTTCAAGCCCTCCCATTACACTCGCATCCCACCCTTCCCCCAGGGCAGTCAAGACTCAGCGCACGGCTTCCCCCATTTTATCTTCCCAACAGTCCTGTGAGGTAGATTTGGCCAAGAAACAAGCCACCAGCTCAAGATTACCCAGAGAACTTAAAAACAGGGTTTGAACCCCAGGTCTAATACAACACCAGACAACTTAAAGGCTTTGGGCCAAAACCAAGGGATCCTTTCTCAGTAGTAAAAAAAAAAAACTGGGGG